CCCATTCCAGCTTACCAGCCGCTTCGGCTGCCGCCTTTAAGCTGCTAAGCATGTACTGCATCAAATAACATGGATATCAGCTGACATGAACACGAAAAGCACACTAAAACTAGGAACAAGAGAGAACACTGCAATGTCTAATGTCAAGTACCTTATCATAACATTGGAAGGCTCCAATTCCGGGGAACTTCCAAGTCCCATTGGCTTCGGGGTACGAAGGATACCGAAGCTCACCTGCCGGACCCATTCCGACTTGGATTTCCTGCAATGAAAAACATTGGCAATTCCTTAGCGGCTAATTCATTCCAAAAGGAACAAAATAGGATGAATAATGAGTTGGAAAATTTACCACAATGGTATGACCAAGGAGATGTTTGAAATTGTCCCTAAAGGCACGCATGAAATCAGCATAACATTGAACAGGGGAGCGGCCTTTTAAGACAGGAAGGGTATCGCAACCAAGTGAAACGTATTCATGATTCCTTCTTCCCCATTGATCAGTATATGCAAGGTCGGGTCCTTCTCCATCTCCTCTGTAACCCACTTGGGCAAAGGAATTCTGTACAAAAACAACCATTTTTTTAAGAAAAATAAATAAAATTTGTATCCATGAAAATGGGCCCTAATCATTCCCAAGAAAGTTGTTTGATTCATCAACTATCTTGGTATATTTAAAATGATTGATTTGTAATCAATAACGTAAGCTTTCTTCTTGAATCTTGATTCCCCAAAATTCCATCAAATTCCAAGAAAAGCAATTAAATTAAGCTTATGTTGAAAATGAAAACGAGAGCTTACGTGCACATAAGCTCTCGTTTCATTTTCAACATTTCTTAACAAGACGTTCACAGCTTAATTTAATTGATTTTCTTGAGAATTGGATGGAATTTAAGGCGTGTTTTCTTGGCCATCTCCAGAAGCTCGGCGTAGCCACCCCAATTGTAATTATCCCCTCCACCCCCGCACTCTTCAGCGCCTGTAGACTCGCATCATCGCCTTTTCCTATTCGTGTTCCCGTACGTCACGCTATCCAAAGGCATCATCACGTAAACCGGAACCCCTACCTTCTCCTCCTTCTTCCCTCCCCGCTTCCACGACGCCGCCGCCGTATCCTCCGCCGTCTCCAACGGCGCTAACGTCCCGTACGTCTGGCAAGCAGCTGAAAGATCCGCACGCAGCATCGGATTCATCATACCCGATCTGGTTGCCATGCTACGCGGTGTCAGCGGTGGAGTTAACATAGGAGGGGATATTTCCCCAGGGGACTTGCACCGGAGATTCGCCAATGGAAGTTTCCGAACTCCAGACACATTCGCCGGCGCCGACGATGGTTGTCTCCGGTGGCAATTTCTGCCACTAACTGTGTCCCGGAAAGAGCCCCAATCTGGTTGCCAAATTCAATGCCATTTTTTCCAATTAACTGACAGAAACGAGAAGAACAACGAGATAAATTTTACTCTTTTGTGCGCTTTTTTATAGAAAATGATGCTTTTGAATGAGAGCGGAGGCAGAGGTGAAATGGATTATTTATAAATAAAAAACAAAATTAAAAAATGATTAATCCAAAACCCCGTTATTTTCTCGACACGTGTTGTTTCTACTACGTGGCTAAAGAAAAGGCGATCTAGGAGGCAACGGCTACGATGGCTGGACTCACGTGAGAATGGACGGTTGGATTAACTAAATAGCATGAACGCGTTTATGGAGTAAAGCACTGAAAGAGGATATCAAATGAGAATGAGACGTGTCTAAAAATTGAGAATTCACGAGTCCGGTCCTTTCGGGTTAGGACATAAGATAAGAGGATTTTGTTTTTGTTTGTAAGGCAACTTTGACGTCCATGCAAGCGGCAGGCAAGCAACAGGTGTGAATTTTAAAACTTTTGGAGGGGCCAAATTAATTTTTTTTAAATATTTTAAGGGTCATTTTTTTTAATTTTGGGAGGCATGCCCCCTCTAGTTTAGCTAGGGGTGTAAATAAACAGAGCGTTCGGTGAACTGTTCGTGAATCGTTCATTTATGTTTGTTTATTAAGACTAAATAAACGAGTATAGACAAAATTTTTATGTTTATTTAATAAAGGAATGATCACAAATAAAGGTGTATTCGGTTGTTTATGTAACGAACAAGATTGTTTATAGGTTTATGAGCAAACTGTTTATGTGTTCATGAATAAGGTCGTTTAAAAGCTCATTTAAAGTTCGTTTAATTTTATATTTTAATTATTAGTGAATGTATATACTAAATTAAATACATAGTAAAATTTAGAGTTTAAATTGTGAAATATAAAAAATTTAAGCACCAATTGTGTAATTTACCATTTTTCCGTAATTGTAACACAAACTCTTTTCCTTGCTCTCTTTTTCCTTTCGAGCTGTTCATCTCTTCCAAGTTTCCTTTCCCATTTTTTTCACAAGATTTATCAACCTTAAACTCATATGTGTTAAGATTTATCAACTCTTAAAATTTTGTTAATCTCTTTACAAGAGTTTTCATGTTGGGATTGTTGGGGGAAAACGAATTATTTTCCACACGAACGTAGTTTTAAAATTGACCTAAAATGTCAAGATTAAAACCACCAAAGGTTGCACAGCGGATAAACCTGTCAAACTATTGAATATTGAAACACAATAGAAAAGAATCGAATAAAAAACAATAAAGGAGAGAACACACCAAATTTACGAGGTTCGACAAGAATATCATTTATTCCTCAGACACCACACCGGATGATAACTTCACTATATCGCTAATATTACAACAAATGGAATTCTTTAGAATTCCCAAAGTGGGAGAATGAAAAATACAAGAGGAAGAGAGAACTTCTTTTTGGGATGATTTCTAATAGAAATAATTAGGCCTATTTATAGTTGAGTTTCAAGAACAATATATTCAAAGTTTGACCACCTACCAAAGAATTTTCCAATGTGTACAAGTTAGCCACCAAATATAAAATTCACATGTTCAAAGTTTGGCCACCAACCAAGATAAAATTTCCAATAAGTTGGCCACCAACCAGATAAAATTTTAACTTGTCAACTTAATTTCTAGACAAATCTAACAGGGATTATAAGATTACCCTTTATTTCTCTGTTTCATCAATGTTTCTCCCTGTTCAGCGGTGGTAATAATTAGATAAAATTTTCTTGTTAAATTCATGCTTATATCTTTTTTCTCTTTTTTTTAAGATCTTGGTTATTAGAATTTCAGTTAACTTCATCGATGCTCTCTTTGACTTCGGCAACTCTCTCTCTTTCACTTTCTAATCCTACTAAAGCCGCATAAACCCTAATGTAATCTAAAAAATAAACTTTATAATGTAAATCCATGTGCAAATTAATATTGAGAAATTGCATAAATTATTATAGATGGGAAATTTCATTATCATTATAAATTATCAATCTGCTCTAATCTCATTTCATTTGGGGGACAATATTGCACAAAGCATATTCCATTATAATGTAATTCTTTACTTTGTGTGTCTAATCCTACTAAAGCCGCATAAACCCTAATGTAATCTAAAAAATAAACTTTATAATGTAAATCCATGTGCAAATTAATATTGAGAAATTGCATAAATTTATTATAGATGGGAAATTTCATTATCATTATAAATTATCAATCTGCTCTAATCTCATTTCATTTGGGGGACAATATTGCACAAAGCATATTCCATTTTATAATGTAAATTCTTTACTTTGTGTGTTCATTGTTAAATTCATAAATATTGTTTTAATTGTGCATCTGTGCTTTTTATCTCAAGTATTTTTGTTTCTATGATAATTTCAATTATTTACAGATTATGTATCTTTGTTAAAATATATATTATGTGTCAATCTAAAACTGTTCTTGTTTATACATGCTAATTTTATCTTGCAATTCAATTTTTGCACAAGTGGTAGTTCTGTTAATTTTCTTTCTATTTGTTTAGTAACATTTTTGAACATATATATAAACGCACATGTTCACGAACATTATATGAACACTAAATGCACATGTTCAAGAACGTTCAACAAACGCTAAACGATTACTAAACGAACACGTTCGCAAACTTTAAATGAACGGACACGAACATCTTCAAAAATAAATAAACAAACACGAACATGATATTAAAATTAAACGAACATGAACTAAACACAACCACTTTTAAAAATAACTAAACGAACACGAACACAATCTTGTTCCTTCAACCACAGTTTATTTACACCCTTTCTTGCAGATTAAGGTATAACACCTTACCATTATTTTGTTTTAGTGGTAAAACGTTAAGCCTTAACCCATAAGACCTAAGTTTAATACCTTGTAATTGCAAATTTTGATTTCCTTCCTTTTTATTCTTAAACCAACCATATGATGATATATGTCATCGTTTGATTGGTTCTAATTAATGTGAACAAAAATAATCATATAATATAATTAAATTTATTAAAATTTTCTTAATTTCTTGTCAAGAAGATTAAGGAGAAGAAATTAACTAACCAGTTCTTTCATTCTCTCCCAAATTTTCTCCAATATAAAATTTTTGACCTCAGAGAATTTATTTATATTTTCATTTAATCAACCACTTGAGAATACATAGAGTTTCAAAGTAAGCTTGTCATCATCAACTTTAAAATAAGCTTTATCAATATTATTTTTCTTGAAAGTTGATGTCATTTCACATTGTTCCTTAAATACTTGACTTTTGAACTCATGTTATGGATCCTTAACCAGTGATAAACATCATTAACACACTTCAAATATACTTTATCATAATTGTACTAATTCAAATATAACATGAGAAATAAAAAAAAAACTTGAAAATTTCACTAAATAAAAAGAAAAATTACTTCTCCTGTACCAATTCCTTTCCCCATTTTAAAAATATACCAAAAAGGGGAAAAAAAAGGAAAAAGAAAGATATTCAATATTAATATTCCACTATAACTTTTTGTGCTAAAGAATCGTCAATCTTATCAGTAGCACCAACACAACCCACATTACCCTCTATTAACTACTCTCTCTAGTAGTTTCCTCATGGACCTGGCTTCTTGCAACATCATCAAAACATCCCTCATCGATGGCCAGTCCGTCGGGTTCGAACTGGTGCATAGCAACACAATTCTAAGTATTTGCACCATTAACACTACCCCAAAGCTATAGTATTTTTTCATCGACTCGGAGAGTGTAAGCATATTCTTTAAAAAAATACAAAGTTAATATTTTTCTCATAAAACAAACATGGTCATCACAAAAATCCAAACAAATACTGAAAACCAAACAAGTACTGCTAAGAAATGTAACACCCCAATTTAGGGTTAAATTTAAAAAATTATAAAGTTGTGAATTTAATTGATATTTTGGAAGAAATTGAAGATTAAATTGTAAAATTTCAAAGTTGGAAGACTGTTTTATAAAGTGCATGAAATTCAGTGGTTAAACTATTAATTTAGTCAATTTTATATAGGAGAGAATTATAAACTCTCCCGTTAGTTTTCCAGGGAGATTTTCTCAATTTTCCCTCCCCCTTAACCCTCCTTTCCAATCCGATTTACTCGTCGTCCGACCTCCGATCGACGAACCGAAACCACCATCGTGTTCATTGTCGAGCAAAGAATAAAACCCCTCAAACCTTTCGTTATGAATCGTCGTCGTTCATCATTAATTTCGTTATGACAATACTCTGGTAGAGTAAAATTACAAAAATACCCTTATGTTGAAAGATGATAAGAATTGTCCCTAGAAGTTGATTAATGACTCTGAAAAGACTTATTGATCTGATAAAACTACAAATGTGTGTAAGAAATGCTAATTTGCTTAGAAAATTGGGATAACCAGTTTTTACCCTAAGAGGGTTTGTACAAGATACTAGAAGTATGTTAAGGAATTATTTCAAGATAAGAGAATGTTCGGGAAAGCAAATAACCATAGGATCTCTAAATTATAAGTATGCTCGATAAGAGTTAATACCGAAATTATCTGGTTAAGAAATTACGAAAATACCCTTGAGAGGTAATGTAACACCCCCAACCCATACCCGACCCGGATATGAGTCAGAGATACTACATTGACTTTAAAACACAACTCTTAATAAATAATAGTAAAATATTTGATCTTATATTAAGAAAATACCATAATATACATACTGTAATATAAGTTTACCAAAATATTCAGAGCATACACAACTTAACCCTTTAATTACATGCCAACTGTCATTTACATAGCAAAATGACCTACTGATTAAGTTGCTTCTGATCTGATGGTTGCAGGAGTAATACTGTCAAGCTGCTTCACCTGTCTCTTCTATTTTCCTCGGATCCTACGTGTGAAACACTCACACGCTAAGTCATCGACTTAGTGAGGCAACAATAATAAGGCAATGTAATGTAATGAAAATGTCAGGATCATATGAGATGAGATGCAAACATGTAACTAATTAATGTAGTATACTTCATCAATATCCATACCTGTAAGCGGATGACTGTAACATTCATTATTCTGTATTAATAAGTTTATTGGCCCATGATAGCATATTGAGAACCTAATGTATTTGAGTAATGTGAGGTTGTGCACTATGCTGTCACCACAGCTCGTATAAATGCACCGAAGTGCCCGTAGAATTGCACCGAAGTGCCCGTAGAATTGCACCGAAGTGCCCGTAGAATTATGTCCATAAGGACCACGTAGAATTCCTTAAGAATCATATACATATACTATGGATCAAGTATGTGTCTTTCAAGACTTCACACAGGTTCCAAAGGATACATATGTCCTAAAGAACCGAGTATACCCTCTACCCTTGGCATGCCAACTATACCTATAGTTCTCATCTACCTAACATGGGCTTATACATTTCCCGTAGTTCATATCGCGTAGACATAGTATTTCCATACCTTTACACATAGGCATATCATTTACATACCTTTATCACATAGTGCATATAACTTTTCTGCATAATCATGTCATGTAATACATATATGAATTCATGTCATGTAATACATTTAATACAAATTCATGTCATGTATCATAATATGAATGTAATCATATGTCAAAATATGGAATCTAGACTTATCACAAGTCTAGAACTGAATATACTACTATATTCATGCTATGCATATGCACTCACCTATACTTCTTTGCCTTTTCCGATCGATCCTACTTGTAGATTGTTCCCGAACTCGAGTAGGCTCGGTATCTACATAAACATAATTTTTAAGATGATCATCAGATGTCTATGTCTTGCAATTAAGCTTTAATAGCTTACTAATTTAAAGAATTTATAGCTTAGTCTTGCTTTCTTTTCTTTCTTCTTCTTTTTCTCATGGGGGAATCGGTTCCCCCCCTGGGGGTATCGATTCCCCTCAGCAATCTGGAATTTCATATACGATGAGGGGGTATCGGTTCCCCCCCTGGGGTATCGATTCCCCTCTTGCATTCTGGAAATTCATTTCGTTGAAGGGGTATCGGTTCCCCTTGAATGGGTACCGATTCCCCTAACCCAGAAATCCTATTTTGAGCCCGGAAATCATCTAATTTCAGCTCAAACATACTTATTTCAATCCCTTTAACACTCTTAGCTCTCATACACTTACTTAAACTAATTATTAACCATTCAATACCTCTAAAACTAAGAAAACTCCTCATCCATATAGAATTGAAGAATCTTACTCCAATTTCAACTTGTTCTAATTTCAATTCTATTACTTCATACTTCTTAATTAGCTTATGACAAGTCAAAAATCTGATTCAAACATCAAAAACTCATTCCTATCAGATTTCATCTAAAAACTCATTTTCCAAATCATTCTCTAAATCACTTATCTTGTTGTTTTAATGTCATATAAGGTTTCCTTTATTATATAACATACCAACTTTCATTTCCAATCTTAACAATCAAGAAACTACCAAGTTCAGTTTCTTACCTATAATTGCAAGCCCACGGTTGGAGGAGGAAGAGGAGAAAGTAAGGAAGAATGAAGAAGAAATGGGAGGTTCTGGAACCTAAAATCACACGTGGGTATCATATATACCCCATAACATTTTATTTTAATTAAATTTTCCTTACCAATGACCATTTGGTCCCTACCTTCATTTCATATTTACTAACCTTTATTTTTAAACTATATAATTATTCTACTTTAATCACCAAATGTTGAAACTTTGCAAATTAATCACTAACCCGACATGGAGGATGTTACAAATCTCTCCCCCTTAAGAAAAATTCGTCCTCGAATTTTTCATTGCACGAACAAATGAGGGTATTGATGTCGCATATCCTCTTCACGCTCCCACGTTGCTTCTTCTACTCTGTGATTTCTCCACAATACTTTGACCAAAGGAATTATCTTGTTCCTCAATTGCTTAACTTCATGTGCTAAGATTTGAATCGGTTCTTCCTCATAAGTCAAGTCAGGACGAACCTCAATCTCTTCTGGTGTCACGATATGAGAAGGGTCAGATCTATATCTTCGAAGCATTGAAACGTGAAAAACATCATGTATCTTTTCCATCTCAGGTGGTAAAATTAGCTGATATGCTACTGGTCCTACTCTCTTTACAATCTCATATGGTCCAATAAACCGAGGACTCAATTTTCCTTTCCGACCAAATCTCAACACCTTCTTCCATGGAGACACTTTTAAAAACACCTTATCTCCAACTTGAAATTCAATTTCTTTCCTCTTAAGATCAGAATAGGACTTTTGCCGATCAGAGGCCACTTTGAGGTTATGCTGAATTCCTCGAACTTTCTGTTCTACATCTTGAATTAAATCCGGACCAAGAACACTTCGTCTTTGAGTTCATACCAATTAATGGAGTACGACATTTTCTTCCATATAATGCTTCATATGGGGCCATCTTTATACTAGACTGATAACTATTGTTGTAAGCGAACTCTGCCAGCGGTAATACTTTTCCCATGATCCTTTAAATTCCATTACGCATGCTCTCAACATATCTTCCAATATCTGAATAGTTCTCTCTGATTGCCCATCAGTCTGAGGATGAAAAGCCGTACTAAAGTTTAAACGAGTCCCCAACGCTCCATGCAAAGATTTCCAGAATCTAGAAGTGAATCGAGGGTCTCGATCAGAGACTATGGAAACAGGTACTCCATGCAATCTAATAACTTCTCTAATACAGCTCTGCATACTTTTCCATAGAAAAATCCGTTCTAACAGGGAGAAAATGCGCGGATTTAGTTAATCGATCAACAATTACCCAGATTGATTCTCTTTTGTTCGGAGTCAAGGGTAACCCCGAAACAAAATCCATCGTAACATTTTCCCATTTCCATTGAGGAATGAAAAGCGGTTGCAATAATCCTGAGGGAACTTGATGCTCGGCTTTGACTTGTTGACATATCAAACACTTAGACACATATTCTGTGATGCTTCGCTTCATCCCTGACCACCAAAATCGATCCTTCAAATCCATATACATCTTGGTTCCACCCGGGTGCATCGTTAACGGACTGCAATGAGCCTCTGTTAATATCTCCTTCTTCAAGTCGTCATTGTCGGGTATTACAATTCTTCCTTTACAATATAGACTTCCATCTGACTTAATCTCAAAGTCTTTAATCTCTTTGTTCTTGACTTGTTCAATTCTTTTCAAACACATTTCATCTTTACCTTGCAATTCTCTTATTCGTTCCAACCATGCTGGTTTAAGGGTTAATTCTGCACAAAGACCACCATCTCCCGTTAAAGATAATCTTGCATCCATAGTAAAGCTGCAAACGTCTTTCTACTCAGAGCATCTGCTACCACCTTTCCGGGATGATAGTCAATTATCACATCGTAATCCTTTAAGAACTCTACCCATCTACGTTGCCTCAAATTCAATTTTTTGAGTCATCAGGTACTTCAGGCTCTTATGATCCGTATATAAGTAGCAACGTTCCCCATAAAGATAATGACGCCAAATCCTGAGAGCGAATACTACAGCAGCCATTTCTAGATCATGTGTGGGGTAATTCCTTTCATGTGGTTTCAACTGTCTCGATGCGTACGCTACCACTTTTCCTTCTTGCATTAGTACACACCCCAACCCGTTATGGGATGCGTCACTGTATACAACAAAATTCTTGCCAGATTCCG